GTGTGTGCATGTGCGCCCCGCGCGCGCGTTTGTGTGTGCGCCCGCGCGTGTGTGTGTAAGTGTGTGCCCCGCGCGCGCGTTCGTGTGTGCATGTGCGCCCCGCGCGCGCGTTTGTGTGTGCGCCCGCGCGTGTGTGTGTAAGTGTGTGCCCCGCGCGCGCGTTCGTGTGTGCATGTGCGCCCCGCGCGCGCGTTTGTGTGTGCGCCCGCGCGTGTGTGTGTAAGTGTGTGCCCCGCGCGCGCGTTCGTGTGTGCATGTGCGCCCCGCGCGCGCGTTTGTGTGTGCGCCCGCGCGTGTGTGTGTAAGTGTGTGCCCCGCGCGCGCGTTCGTGTGTGCATGTGCGCCCCGCGCGCGCGTTAGTGTGTGTGCGTGCGTGTGTGTGTGTGTGCGCCCGCGTGTGCGTGTGTGAGTGTGTGCGCCCGCGCGCGCGTTCGTGTGTGCATGTGCGCCCCGCGCGCGCGTTTGTGTGTGCGCCCGCGCGTGCGTGTGTAAGTGTGTGCCCCCCCGCGCGCGTTCGTGTGTGAGTGTGTACGCCCGCGCGCGCGTGTGTGTGTGTGTGTGTGCCCGCGTGTGCGTGTGTGTGCGCCCGCGCGCGTGCGCGCGCGTGTGTGTGCGCCCGCGCGCATGTGTGTGAGTGTGTGCGCCACGAGCGTGCGTGTGTGAGTGTGTGGGCCCACGCGTGTGTGTGCGTGTGTGCATGCCCGCGCGTGCGTGTGCGTGTGCATGTGTGTGTTCACGCGCGCGTGTGTGTGTGTGTTCGCGCGCGCGTGCGCGTGCGTGTGTGTGTGTGCCCGCGCGTGCGTGTGTGTGTGTGTGTATGTGTGCCCGCGCGTGCGTGTGCGTGTGTGTGTGTTCGCGCGTGCGTGCGTGTGTGTGTGCCCGCGCGTGCGTGTGCGTGTGCGTGTGTGTATTATGTCACTGTATTGAGCGTTTCTCTTCTTGTTTACTCTCCTATAGGTCAGAAGTTTGCCATGATGGAACTGAAGGTCGTTCTCGCCTCTCTTCTGCGTCGTTTCACCATCCGCTCTACGCGTGCGCGTGAGGACATGCGACCTTTCGCGGAAATAACGCTAAAGCCGAAAGATGGCATTGTCGTCGTGCTCACAAGACGTCGTTAGCTGCGACTTCGGCACCGTTCGGGAATTTTCGGACGATTCCGCCTCACTTCGTCGTTGTGGGAGAACGCGTCAGTGGCTGTGTAGTAATAGCGACCGATAATAGATGGCGCTGCGAGTCACAGTCGCGGCAGTCTTGTCTTCCGCAGTAGAAACTGCTTATTGACTAATATTTAAAAAATGTATTAATAATGAGAATAAATATTAATAATAATATTAATATAACTATAATTA